GTGTGGGTGGTACATGAGTGACTTCAGCGTATTGAACAATGGTAGGCATCCTTGTGGTTTTGAGGGTGGGTGCGTCTGGGGTAGGGGTGTGAAGGTGGGTGTAGGCGAGAGTTACTGTTGGGCTGATTGTATGTCTCGTTAATGCTAACTCTGAATTACATCCATACCAAACCATTCCAACAAACACCCAAACCACACTGTCAGCGATACCGACATCCAATTCCAAAACGCATCGTCACCCACGCCCATAAAGAATTAAAATGCATTGATGTCGTCGATTTATCTCATTATTTAATCGATTGGTAAGAAGTAACGAAAAGGAAATCGTTATGTGTCGGTAGCGAAATGGGCGTTGTTCGATGAGAATTGATGGATGCTTGTGATTTCAGAGACATCATATCAAAAAACACCATGGAAATCCTAATGATTTTAATTTAATGTGAAAGCTAAAAGATGAGAGACGAGATGTTATAATGTTAGTAGGCAGATGCATGATTCCGATATTGCATCTAGATTGTATGTAAGGGCATTAGACTTAATGATGCTGTAGTTAATGAAAGCAAGCGTAACAAGTATGTGAATTATGATTGAAGGGAAAAGAACTCTGAGAAAATAGCATAGTTATGGTGAATAGAGAAAGATGTTGAGATAACACCAAATATATATTTTATATTAAATGTCTGTCTATCATCAATGTGATAATCATCTTAAAGAAAAGCATCACTACACGAATATTTTAAAAAATTAAAAATTTCAATTTTTTTCTACATGACTACTGGAAAACGAATAGATCCCTGGTACTCCTACAAAATAGAACTTATCACCATGCTTGTAGTGTAGAAAAAACTGCGAACACCGTATCTTAAACTAAATAAGGACAACTTTCTCGTGGATCATGCATGATGCAATAGAAAAATCTTGCGAGTCGATAACGAAGATGGCATACAGTTCGAATTCAAAGCGTTTTAAGAGTATTGCTTGTTAGAGTTGCCACGATATTTTTCAACCCTATTAGAATTGCTATCAAATAGTATCTATATATTATACATAAATCGGTTCTTATTATTGACAAGAATGGTAAGTTCAAATTAACATCACTTAGCAACAACTTAATAACAAAAGGTCGAGTATGTTCAAGAGAGACATCGCAATATCCATTTCACTGACATAATTTCTTCTTTATTAGTTGTATTTCAAAACTTGACTTCAAAAGTTCCATCGAACGACTAACAAGTTTTTATAAAATTAATTTATATATACGAAGAATCGAGGAAAAACGTTCTTCGAAGAATATCTATACAAACACAGATCGGGTGGTGAATGTGTATTTAGACCTCTGACCGTATTTCTGCACACCAGCAATCACGTTCGAGCCAACCAAAATATCTTACTAATTAGTTCTATCTGTATCTGTACCATGACATAATGATAGCATGGCAGAGGCCTCTTATTAAAGTTCTCCTAAAGATCAACCACTGCTGCATAATTTGAATAGAAGAGTTTGGGGATAAAAACAATCAGTAGAGTTATTGTTAACTCTTGTTTTGTTCTAATAGAGTGCATTAGAATGAAGAAAGGACCAATACTCATCCGAGTACTATTCCATCTGATATTTATTGTCATCACTTTTTGAAAAGTTTAATCATAAGAAGTAGAAAAGTGTATCGGGATTTCGTAATATTAATTAAGGAAATATCATGCAAAGCTTAACATGTAATCTAAGTACAAAAATCGGCCTCTCCTCCAATTGATTTGTCTCTATTTTATAGAAGGATAATAAGTTATTAGATAATTTTCAAATTATTTCAACCATTCTAGATTAATTAAAGATAATATGAGCCGATAGCTTCATTATGGATTTTTATTTTTACATTAGTCATACAAAGTATTTAGAGAGTGATAGGCAGTCAGCCAACGCTATGAGTGTAAACAGAAGATGAACAAAAGCACATTAAGATTCTATCGAAAAATTCGTATCATTCGAATTTTACTAGAAGATTTTTTGTGGCAAATTCTTAACAAAGACAAATAAAATAAAAAGAAATTGTCCGCTAATCTATCATGTTTTATCTGGGATAACATATGGCCAACAAGAACTTACATTCAAAGATGATCAAATCTTGATGGTTCGGTGTCGAATGTTCTACGCGGAAAACATTTTTCATTTATAGAACGATATGACTGAACATTTTCAAGATCCAATTTTTCTATGAATATCAAGAAAAGCGAATAATTTCAATCACTTAGTTTATCGATGAAGATTTTTTTCAACTATATTTAAATGTTGAGCTAAACAAAAAGATTATTATTTCTTTTTCTCAAAGCAAAATTTCACATGACTCTTAAAATCTAGTCCAGCTCTCAAAATAATGGTTTCCCATGTGTAAGGACTGGTGATGTTTTCTAAGTAGCCACAGAGTACTCATCTGTTGAATTGTAACACACAAGATATAGTTAGAACTTTCATATTAAAAATAACTATTACCTCTACGAGACGATGGTTGCATCAGAAAAGTTATTTTTTGAATTAGAAGACTTCCGGTACAGCCTCTGTAAATGAATTCTATGAGGATTCGAACCAGAAAGATCGTTCTACTCTCCCTGTTATTTTGTTAAACTTCAGAAAAAATATTATATTCGTGCTCGACACGACGAGTTATATCAAATCAGATACGCAATTCTTAAATTGAAGTTGACAGCTTTTCTTCGATCATCGGGAATATCACAGAGATAAAAAACTATACAATCAAATTTCAAAACTGTGACCTAAGGAAAAATCTTACAAGTGTGTCCCCATAAATGTGCAAGTACTATTTACTTCCGATTTCGTGAAATGAAAAATAGTAAAAAGCACCACTGCTTCTTTCACATGAAATCATACTACATACACATAGCAATAAAAAAATGATTGAAATAGCTAAGTAACAACACATGTGATTCAACCAATTGCAGACTCGAATATGATTAAGTTTACTAACAGTTCATACTATGTTGAAGTTTTAAGCTGTAGGGTCTTTCATATTGCAGCGTTCGAAAAGAATGGAGCAAATTGCGAAACGAACGATAGTTTTAGATCTTTATACAATACTATCATTTTATTCTCAAAATAAAATCATATCCTGAAAGTTCGTGAACACCTGTACATTTTACATTAGAAAATCCTAACTAGTAAATGCCTCACAAAAAAAAAGTTTTCAGTTTTGAAATTTGGTAACGGTTGATATTTTTTCTATAAGTATGCCAAGGGGGAAACAGCGGAGACTTCACGACTGAAGTCTCATGAAGTCTTGAAAGTCTTTCGAAGTCTTATGAAGTCTCTTGAAATCTTATGAATTCTCATAAAGTCTCTTGAAGTCTCTAAAGTCTCCTAAAGTCTGATGAAGTCTGATGAAGTCTCTTGAAGTCTGATGAAATCTCTTGAAGTCTGATGAAGTCTCTTGAAGTCTGATGAAGTCTCCTGAAGTCTTTTGAAGTCTCTTGAAGTCTCTTGAAGTCTCTTGAAGTCTTCTGGAAGCTTTGAAATACATTTCGTGCATGAAAATTCACAAGAAACCAATGAAATCGTCTTGTTTTCGACGGTCTTATTTTAGTAGAAAGGTGAACTTTTTATTGGTTTTTTTAATGCACTGGAAAAAATTCAAGTTTGTTTGATCTTAGAAAATATGATAATTAATAAGTGAATGCTTTTTGAATGAAGTGGTTTATTTTTATAAGAAATTTTCCATCTATCCAAATCAATCTGATGAAGATTTCAATCCTTTTTGTTTGTTTCTATCACTCGCGATAATCTATCAGCCGATAAGCGGCTAACTTTGTCGGCCAATAACCAACAAGCCGTTTGCTTGTGTATAAATTTAGTCTTGTTATTTATTTGCACTTGAAAATAGGAGTTTTTCATTGCTGGAGTAATCGAATCGAGTATACGCATACCAGTAAAATTTATTTTCTCAGTTTTAATTTCATCAAAGTTTTGTGTCATTGCCGCATCTTTATCTTCTTCATCCACATTGATTAGATCACTATAAAATTCATGACTTTCCATTGCTCCATCATCATAATCAGATTCAGAATCTGATGAAGAATCTGAATCCGTTGCTAAATAATTATCTGAATTAATGTTGAATCTAATACTATCAGATATATTTTTACTTAAACCATTAAGTTCACAAGCATTGCATTCCTTTAATGAAGGTAATATATTCAAATTATTAACTAGTTCTTTTGCACGGTTAAAAGCAGCTAAAATAATATTTTCAACGTTGATTTTATCAATATCATTCTGTTCCTAGTGCTCGGAAGACGCTAGTTACTTCGTTATGAATGAGAGTGTCAGTTTATATTTACTTTTCATTTAATTTACGCGTAAATTAAATGATAAGTAATTTGTATTTATTATAAAGTACATGGCAAATGACACCCTTACTTAATGATAAGCTTTTTTGCATGTTATAGAGGTTTCATTTAATTTCTATAAGTTTTTTTGATACGCACGGAATCTGCCTTTTGAAGTCTTGTGAAGTCTTTTGAAGTCTTTTGAAATCTTACGAAGTCTTGTGAAGTCCGATGAAGTTTTGTGAAGTCTTGTGAAGTCTTATGAAGTCTTATGAAGTCTTATGAAGTCTAATGAAGTCTTATGAATTCTCATAAAGTCTTTTGAAGTCTCATGAAGCCCGTGAAGTCTCAAGAAGTCTGTGAAGTCTCATGAAGTCTTTTGAAATCCAATGAAGTCTTCATAAGTCTTTTGAAGTCTTGTGAAGTCTTGTGAAGTCGTGTGAAGTCATTTGAAGTCCTATGAAGTCTTTTGAAGTCTTTTGAAGTCTTGTGAAAATATGAAGTCACTGCGGCTGAAGTCCGTTGAAGTCTCTTGAAGTCTTTTGAAGTCTTGAAGTCTTGAAGTCCGCTGTTTCCCCCTTGAAGTATGCTGTGCTTCAACGAAATTTAGAAACATTTATGGAGATGGTAATTCACGAGGGTCTCTACTGCTGACAGAAATTTAAGTGCATTGACTTGTATTGCTACAGAGAAATAGATTATAGAAGATAATTGAAATTCCGCAACAATTGGCCGTACCTTTTATGCTTGCATGTTTGTCGAAAGAGATTAATCAGTCGACGCTTTCTTGAAGTTGCAGTGATAACAACAGCAGTATCAATGAATTTCAAAATTCTACATTAGTCGAGAATAATATTTCAGATTGATAAATCGATTTTCATGGATTCGTAAATAGTCGGAAAATAATGATAGTCTTCATGGTCTTTATTACGTTTCTGATGTCTTCGAGATTTAATACAAGTAACGCTCGTCCGTGTGACTCGCTTGATCCTCGACTGCAAATTAGGCCCTTTGATATTTTATAGTGCTTTACAATCTTCAACACAGCTAGTATCCAATATTTATTGAATGAATGCCAGCAGCCTGAAGCCTCCCTTCAAGGGACCTTCTAGTGCAGCGGCTAGTCGTTCGTCGGCGCCTCGAAGGGGCGCCACTCATGGCTAGCCGCTGCTATGTTTCATTCTTTTTCTCCACAAAATAATTATTCTTTATTCACGTTTCACCTAATCCCAAACTCGGCTTACTTCGAAAAATAGCAACATATCATATTCAATTTTTTCAGAGGTCACGTGGGAAAAGAAATTCACAACAGTTATACGAAAACGAAGAATACTCTTTGAAAATTCTACTAGACATTAATATACATTCTAGAAAATTCGTCGGTAATGCTGCTAACTATAGACTTCTCTAGAAAACTAGGAACTGAGCAGAACCCCTTCCTTAAAATAAATCATGTTATGCCTGATCTCTAATAGAAATATCATACATACGACAAGGTCTTATTCAAAGACGTGATAAGATTAGGCAGGTAATTTCAATATATCCGTATACATTCAGATACTTCAATTAATGTAAATAAAAGTAGATACCAAGAGAAATACTCTTTATTTCATTCATGTCAACTCTCAATACAGCAGATATAAATTCTTTCAGCCATGTTTTCTGTCGGATGAGTTATTCAGACATTGTGTCCAAACACAAAAAACCGTTTCTCATCCTTCTCTTGACATAGTTCTTTCAGGTTTTTGTATCTGATATTCCTTATTCAGGTCGATTAGATCCTGACTATTGACGCTTATTCAATGAATCCCAACACATTGAAGCGGCATTTCTGAAGATAATTCAGTGCAGCAGCTAGTCGCTCGTCGGCGCCCCTCCGGGGCGCCACTCGCGGCTAGCTGCTGCTACCTCTGACCTTCTTTTCCCATGAGATGTTTCTTTTTACTTAAACCCTATCGAATGTCAGATTACTCTTAGTTAGAAAAACTGTTGAGATAAGAACGGGATTGCTCCAGATGGGCTGTTCCGAACCGACACTTTCCTCTTATTCATTCCTAATTTCTTTACCCTGATTGTTTGGCCAATGCGCTAGAATTTTAATAGGGCTTCTGATTTGGGGGAATCTTAATTGGTTATTCTTGATACATATAGGTTTCGCATAGATCTTATGTTAAATAACATCAGAATACGTTTGCAATATTATTCGCCAATCGCTCGTCACCACTTCTGTCAGCCCCTGCTCATACTCACTCGCTGCATTATTTGCACAAATTAAAACAATCATTGGTTATTCTGCATTCACCCTACAGGCCGTAACTTCACTTACGAAATTCTTTTGATCCTACTCCTTTCCACCTAAGCAGAGTCTGCAGAAAAAGCTATTCAACTCAGAAACCATTGTGAATAAACAAGAATCGCTCAATCTCATGTGCCTAAGATTGGGTCCCAGTGGTATGTAAACACGGGCCTACCACACTACAACTTAGTGACATACATACTCCACCAGTTCATACTCAGACCCATGTCTACAACGATACTGTAAAGGGGGCACCGCAACTAAACAGCAGCCACAAATTTTCACAATGCAGAAGGGTTTCCCATATTTTGAGTTTCTTTTCTTTCAAATGACTTTTTCCCAGAGATTTGATTTTTTCTTAGGCAATAATTTAGAGAGCAAATTATGGTCTTTTTTCAAACAAATAACTAATCAAGCTTTTCAGAAAATGGCTTCAGATTTGGATTCCTCGACCCCGATTAATTGTCGTCAACCTTTATAAAATAACGTTATTTTTTGAAAAAACCTTTTCGCAACGTAAAAAACTCAATTCAAAATTTTGAAAAACTAACTTCAGATTCGGATTCTCCGACGCCGATTTCCTTTCGTCGAGCTTTATAAAATATCGTTATTTTCTCAAAAAATCCTTTCCTCAACCCAAAAAACTCAATTCAAAATTCTGAAAAACTAACTTCAGACTCGGATTCCCCGACCCTGCTTTACTTTCGTCAACCTTTGTAAGAAAAATTCATCCTTAATGTTTTTTTGACCTTGGCACAAAGCCACACACAAACTATTTTTTCTTATAAGACCCTCCCTACAGTCGAGGGAATATCGGAGCATCTAATCGTATTCAACCATGCATGCAAACTTATTCAAATTTTCCGATATCCCCCTACCAGGAGCCCACCGAATTTATAATTAGTTTCAATTAGTCTTAACTGCTCTTAACTATCCTTAACTACCCTTAATCAATCCAACCTAAGCTTCACTAGCATTACCTGTCTTCACTAAAAGTTCGGAATTTTGAAAACTGATAATGGATATGCATTCCTGGTCCTCGATAACCTACAGCAAAGCGCCACCAAAACACCGAAAATCCTTAAAATATAAAAGCTCGTACCTGATTGGACGGTTCCAGACCAATGAAAGCTCAGCCAAAAAAAAACGACTTCAGATTCGGATTCTCGGCCGTCGATAACCTATAGCAAAGTTTCATCGAAACGTCGAAAATCCTTATAATAAAAAAGCTCATTTCTGATTGGCCGGTTCCCGACCAATGAAAGCTCGGCCAAAAAAAACGACTTCAGATTCGGATTCCCCAATCCCAATTTACTTTCGTCAACCTTTATAGGAAAAATTCATCGTTGACGTTTTTTTGACCTTGACAAATACATAGATACAAACGCATTTTATTTCATATGACCCTCTCTACAGTCGAGGGAATATCCTTATTTTCTCAAAAGACCCCTCCCTTGGCTCAAAAAATTCAATTCAAAATTTTGAAAAACTAACTTCAGATTCGGATTCCCCGACCCCGATTTACTTTCGCCAATGTTTAGAGGAAAGAACTTTAAATGGATGTTTTTTTGACCCTGATGTTCTTTTGACCCCGATGCAGACACACAGACACACACACAATCTATTTTTTTTCATATGACCCTCCCTACAGTCGAGGGAACAAGAAAATTTTTATCCCGATACTACTAGCCCAAAATTGTGATAAATTTAATTTTTGAATTCAAAATCTCAATGAATATGTGCAGAGCTTAAAATTATCTATGGATAGATTTGTATTTTCGCAATTTATGCTACATGTCTAAAATATTCTCAAATAAACATTGTATCAGGTAGAAATTTATTTGGAAATAATATTTTAAAATTCTTTAGAATGTTTTTCAATATTATCAGATATGGCAGATGCCCTATCTTGCAATTTTGATTGTTGTGATGAAACAAGAAATTGAAGACTGTTGTTCGTAGGAAAACGAACTCGAGTAAATTAAGAAATCATCTCAAACTATAGGTTTTTGCTAGATCTGTAGATGAACGACTCCACGGTACCTACGCTCTTTAATATATTCTGTTAACTATACGAATTAGTGTATAGGATGTCGTTCTTCTGCAGTTCTATTCTATTAATTATCTAGCAGTT